ATTCATTAACTTTTGTCGTATACAGCATGTTTCCATGGGGGGTATTAGGAAGATGAAAGGGTTAGAAAATTATTATCTATTAATAAGAAAATATAACAAAATAAATCAAAATGTATGAATTAATGGACAAAAATTAAGAATATTGTGAATATCTACTAATGATATAGGCCAAAACAATTAAAATTAGGGAGATGTATCTAATTAGCTTGTAAATGCACGAATTAGTGTCTTCAATAAGATTAAGTCCTTGTTTAGTGTTACCGAAAATCAAGATTTTTAATTTAAGTAAAAGTAAAAAATTAGTCATATTTCATGGAATCTACAACTTTTCAATCATATATTTCATTAACTTCTAACAAAATCTAATTTTAATCCCCTTCAAACATGGGTTAAGACTATTATTAGATGAACAAAAGAATATCAAGGACAAATGAGTCCATTGTAACATGGGGGTAGAGTCATAAGAGAGAGGAAAGAAGAAGAATTATACATGAGGTTGAAGAGGATGAAATTGCAATATGAGCGAATGGAAATGAAAAAACATAATAGATGAATGTTATGCTCATGATTAGCTTTGAATATAAATATTTAATGTTATGAATTAATATGAATTAAAAGTGGTATGGGGGTGAGAATATATTGGGCATATAGTTAAATACATAAGGGTCAAATTGGTATTCAAAAGTTTTTACTCAATCCTTTCTTTTATAGATTGTAGATAGTCAATAACTGAATACAAAATATAGAAACACCTCCACAATTCCCATAGAAAAAGAAAAGTACAATATTGGTAAGAAAGAAGTTCAAAGAAATAATGATTGACCAAGAGCCTGTTTGAGCTCATTTTTTGTCCAAAATACATTTTTATATAGTCTTTTGACAGAGAATGTGTGGTTAAAAAATAAGAAAAAAGTTTTAGGTTTGTGGATAATATTGTTTTATTGAAGAATGTGTAGTTAAAAATAAGATAGAGAAAAATGTATTTGAAACCAATGAGGACCAAACACGGGTCAAATCTTCTTGTGACACCAGTAATCCCACTTGTCCACAAGCTTTTAAATGTTGGATTTGTAAAAATAAGAAAATTCGATTTTCTCTAAAAAGTAAAAAGTGTAAATAAAAACTGAAAAATTAAGACGGTTATGAATATTTTTTAAGGGTTGTTTGATAAAGTTTTTTAATAAAAAATTTAACAAATTTTAGAACCCATTTTGCTTCCATTAAATTAGATTTCATTTTACACTCTCCTATCTTCAATCACGCAATCTTCCATAAAATAATATTACACTATAAAAGAAGAAGAATTATACATGAGGTTGAAGAGGATGAAATTGCAATATGAGCAAATGGAAATGAAAAAACATAATAGATGAATGTTATGCTCGTGATTAGCTTTGAATATAAATATTTAATGTTATGAATTAATATGAATTAAAAGTGGTATGGGGTGAGAATATATTGGGCATATAGTTAAATACATAAGGGTCAAATTGGTATTCAAAAGTTTTTACTCAATCCTTCATTTTTTTTTTTTATATCCAGGTATCCCAAGTTACACCAGACTAAATTCTGGACTCCCAAGACCCTTGCCCCTAGAACCTTGGAGGGAGTAAATCGCGGGTTATACCTCAACTAGATCACAGGTCCCCCCATTGCCTGTATACTTCTGCGCACAAGAGACCCTTCTCCACAGTGATTGTTCCATATCAAATTTTTTGGCCGTAAGTTCCCACTAGGAATCGAACTCTCCACCTTGCCGCTGGAAGCAAGACAATGTTAATTGATCCACCAGTTGAGCTGTGCCCCGGGGGGCTCAATCCTTTCTTTTATAGATTGTAGATAGTCAATAACTGAATACAAAATATAGAAATACCTCCACAATTGCCATAGATAAAGAAAAGTACAATATTGGTAAGAAAGAAGTTCAAAGAAATAATGATTGACCAAGAGCCTGTTTGAGCTCCATTTTTTGTCCAAAATACATTTTTATATAATCTTTTGACAGAGAATGTGTGGTTAAAAAATAAGAAAAAAAATTTAGGTTTGTGAATAATATTATTTTATTGAAGAATGTGTGTTTAAAAATAAGATAGAGAAAAATGTATTTGAAACCAATGAGGACCAAACAAGGGTCAAATCTTCTTGTGACACCAGTAATCCCACTTGTCCACAAGCTTTTAAATGTTGGATTTGTAAAAATAAGAAAATTCGATTTTCTCTAAAAAGTAAAAAGTGTAAATAAAAACTGAAAAATTAAGACGGTTATGAATATTTTTTAAGGGTTGTTTGATAAAGTTTTTTAATAAACAATTTAACAAATTTTAGAACTCATTTTGCTTCCATTAAATTAAATTTCATTTTACACTCTCCTATCTTCAATCACATAATTTTCCATAAAATAATATTACACTAAATTGAAAATGTTTCCTTCTTTTTCAACCACTCATTCTTCAAAAAAATACTATTCTATCCATTTTAATTTGAAATAATGAGGGCCAAACAAGGGCTTAATAAAAATTGATGAAATGTATAGTTGAAAAATTGATAAAAATTGAGAGTCCAATGAAAGTTGGAAGTTATATAATGGTTTAAATACAGATAAATTATTAAAAAGAGAATGGTGATTTTTTTTCTTTTAATTTGGTTGAAAAAATTCTAATCAAATCATATCTCATCACATCATGTGTATGTAAACCATTATATACATGTAACACAATTGTAAAATTAATTGCTGACTATGACATCAACTTTTTAAGTTACAACAAACAAGCCCTTAAGAGTTTGACGAAGTTTATGGAGGAATTTATGCCATATGTATTTAGTGGAACATTTCATTTCTCCTATTTATGCTAGATATTTAGAAGATTATTTGTATTGCCAGCTCTTTTTTTAAAAAATAAAAATAAAAATATATGTTTGAGTTTGGTTTCAGTAATTGAGTAGATTCGAATGGCTCCATTTATGAATATTTGGAGTGTAATGAATGGTTCCAGATTCAGATAGTTTGGGTTCGTTCGGATTTGATTCCAATAATTATGGGGACTCGGATGATTTTATTTACGAAATACTCAAAGTGTTATGAATGATATCGAATATTGAAATAATCGGACCGATCCACTCGATGCCCATACCTAGTTACTGGCCTTCCTTTTAAGAAAAAACCACACATGCATACGTTGCATACACATAAACTAATGCAATAGAGGAGATCTGGTGAATTCCAACCACCATCTTCGCTTGATCCCCCTAGTTGCCAATGGCGACGCCAACGAGGGAGCTGACTTTGGTGATTACAGATTTTCAGTGACTTTGAAGATGATTATTGTCGTGGCAAAGTAATATAAGTGTAGGTGGTGGGCTTCGATTTGTTATGTGGTGGTATAGGAATTGGTGACTGAATTTGACAAAGTAATGGGCATTAGGAATCGTTATGTTGGAAGATGCTGACTTGGTTGTGGTGCTTTTCGCATCTTCAATTGCTTCTAGGTTGTGTCTTTTATGACTTTGCTTGCTTTGAGTTTGTTATTGATTTTTATTTCTTTTTATTGAAAATTTTGTTTTGTTTTATTTTATTTTGACAAAAGTGGAAACTTTTTGGATATTGACGACAACGATGGTGAATATAGTGATTTGAAGGGGACGTAACATCACGTTTTACATGTAATATGTAACACAATATGCTGTGCAGTAACAATGTGTTACATAAAAATAGATGCACAAAAAGTAAGATAATACAAGAATAAAGTGGAAAAAGGTAGTTTGCAAAAGAAGAAAAAGGTTAGGTTACGGAAATGTTTTGTATATATAGGCTATTTATGAAAGTTATCCATTTAAGAATCCAATATAGGTCAGAAGTGGTCCTTATTAAGGGAAAAATTCATATATAAGGTATATACTTGACACCATTTCGCAATTGAGGTATAGAAAGTATATATTCAAATATCAGGTGTAATGATATTGATCTTGATTTTTCCAACATTTACAATTCATGCCATAAGAGGGATGTAGATAAGTTCTTTAAGCATGGAGGTACTTGTTTAGAGAAAACAAATTATGTGTTCCTAATTGATATATGCGTGAGTTGTTGGTTAGAGAAGCATATAGTGGGGGACTAATGGGCCACTTTGGGGTAGCAAAGACTTTAAAACTATTAACTGAACACTTTTATTGGCCTAAAATGAAAGTTCATGTGGAACAGATTTGCAGTCAATGCATAACTTGTAAAAGGGAAAATTCATATATAAGGTGTATACTTGACACCATTTCGCAATTGAGGTATAGAAAGTATATATTCAAATATCAGGTGTATATATATATATATATATTTTCTGTTACGTATCTTTCCTATAATCCCGCCTAGTTTCCATCAATAAAACGTCTCTACCGCTACAAAATCATCATCAAAATAAAACATCCAGAGTAATTTCAATCCGGACGTTGTAGAACCCTAATTCATCGACATTGATATTTTCGTGTAACAGATTTGGGATCGTCTTGAAGAAATTGACGTTTTCGCATAACAGAAATCAATCCAGGTATTGGTCCGATTATTGCACTCCTTCCTTTTTCGCAATTAGCATCATCAGATTAGTTCCAAATTTCTTCTAAACGCAAATTTCCAGCGTCCTTATCTATCGTAGCCACATATGTCTCAAATTCAATAATATTGTGCAGTGGGAAATGAACAACATGCATGAGATGTGACGTAATTGAGTGTAACCAGTCGTAGACAAGTGTAGCATCGATTGTGGACGTCTGTGACCACTAAAACAAATGTGGTCGATTGAATGTGACTGCTGTGAAAAAAATGTGACCTCAATTTGTTTTTGATTATTTGTAAGACATGTTACAAATGTGACCTGTGTGTCGCCAAATGTGACCTGCATTTTTCCGTGTCAATAGTGACTTCATGTTATTGCATAAATTCTTATACAAAACTGTATGCACAGTATTAAATTAATCATCGAGAATGTGATGCTTTGAAGTTCAATTTTGCAGAAATGGTGTACTTGCACGTATGTTTGTTGCATGGATCTCAGTCAGCTTTGGCGTTGGTAGACCATGGATGCAGTTATATAAACCTTGTAAACATGATTATGTCAGAGTTCAGCTTGGATCCGACAAAGGTAGCAGTATCATTGAAGTATATACTCAACGACGATTTGCCTGCAATCAAGATAAAAAATGACAGCAATGTGCTTGCATACATTCTGTTGAAAGAAGTCGATCGTGATCCAGCTAAATACCCATTAATCATTGACATAATTGATGCAGCAATACAATACCCGTCTGACATGGTCACAGATAATGCTTATCGTAACAGTGAGCTTTATACGTTGCAGGATGTGGCCACAGAAATTTGCGAAGCATCAAGTAAACATTTAGGTCACATTTGTGACAATAAAGTCACGATTGTTTCTATAGCAGATGCTATTAAGGTCGAAGAAGGCAGGATTTTCCGTGACAAGGATATTTTAAAATTGAGCCTATCGTTTTTTGCCATACGAAACATGTTTGAGTTTATGGTTGAACAATTCGACAAGAAAGAATATGTGGTGAGGTGTTCTCATGAAGGATGTACTTGGATATGCCGATCGTCAAAATGGGGTAAAACGAATCTATTTAAGATTCGAAAGATTGGTAGTCACACATGTGCATCAAATGTGGTGTTGGGGTCACACAGACAAGTATCAGCTGCAGTTGTGTCATCTAGCATCAAGTACAAGTACACATCAGCTGGCACAATATACACACCAAAGGACATATGTAGTGATATGCTACATACGTTTGGAGTATATTTGAATTACTCAAAAGTTTGGAGGTCCCGTGAACAAACATTGAAGATGATTAGGGGTGATCCGACGGAATCATTCGGTAAGATACCAAGCTTCTTCTACATGGTTCGACAAAGAAATCCTGGTACGGTCACAGAGTTGGAGGTCGATAGTCACAATAGGTTCAAGTACTATTTTATGGCACTCGGTGCATCAATACAGGGGTGGCAACATTGTAGGCTCGTAATTGTCATTGACGGTACTTATTTGAATGGTCATTATGGAGGTACCCTATTCACAGCATGTACACAGGATGCAAATAATGGCATATTTGTTCTTGCCTTTGGAGTAGGGGATAATGAGAACGACAAATCATGGAGATGGTTTTTGGAGAAACTGAAGAATGCATATGGGCACAAAGAAGGATTGTGTTTTGTATCGGACCGTCATGGCAGTATAAAGAAAGCAATAGAATAGGTGTACCCGGAAAGTTGCCATGGTATTTGCTCGTACCATTTGCTGCAGAATCTCAAATCATATTATGGGAAATCAGGGCAAAATATTACGTAGGCTTTCAATTCGGCTGTCCGGGCTTACACATTAGAAGAATTTGAATACAACATGCAACAACTAGACGTAATGAATGATAAGATTCGTGATTACCTGGTACTGTACTGACTACAGCACTGCATTATCACATGCAGTGAAGTGGTCACATATATCCTTTTATACTATTCTCATACTACGATATATTTTGGCAGGATGAAGTAGGCCCTGAAAAGTGGTCACGAATACATATGCCGGCAAACAGATACTCTACAATGACATCAAACATTGTGGAATCAGTAAATGCGGTCACAAAGGCAGCTAAGAATTACCCCATTGTATGTTCAGGTCACAGGACTTCATACTGAGGTCACAGGTTTAACATTAGTAACAAATTTTATATCACGACAAACAAAGTACATAGCGTCACATACGTAAATTAGTGGTCACATGAAATTAATATTTGGACACATAAGCACATACGTACATTCCATGTCACAGACACCTATGAAATAATCACATGCATATTTCTATTTAGTACACATACACGAACTTCAAGATACCTAAGAACCTTACCCTCAAGTTCCTTAATTCTGAACTTATTCTTCTCATGACGTTCTCGAACTTGCTAGTCAACATCGTGAAAGTTCCATGCGCTTCGTCTCTATGTTTACAGATGCATTGGCTGTAATCGCACATACGAAAAGGGATGCATATTCTTACTGTTCCTATTATTACACAAAGGAAGCATATGTAAATGCTTACGAAAGTTCAGTATATCCCGTTGGAAATCCAGACGAGTGGAGAGTGCCCGATGAAGTAGAATTCCAAATCGTTTTAGCTCCTAACCAAAAGCGGAGTTCTGGAAGACCTATTGAGAAGAGGAAGAGATCATCTAGGGAAGGGAAACCAAAAGTAAGATGTGGACGTTGTGGTGCACATGGTCACAACCGCAGGAGGTGCTCAAGTTTGGTCCCATTAAGTAAGAACGGTTGATAGGAAGTCAATACATGATAAAGACTTATCAAAGTTAGCTGGCATTCTTGAATTCTTTTTAGCATACCAACATGTAGACATGTGTTTCAATTGATCAATTGACAAATAATTTTTAAATAGTAAGGTAATAAATGATAAATGAAGTACATCAGCACTTTTTATTCAGTTGAACATAGAGTTTTGTAAATTTGTGATTATAGATTCCATACACAGCAATATATTTGAATTGTGACTATTAATTCACTTAAAGGCATGAAATGTGACCTAAACGTGGTGGAGAACAAATATATGTCCAGGTCATAGATTCCATAAATAAAATGTACTGTGATCAACTCTTGGCAGGCTATTATAATTAATATGTGACCTGTTCTTGACATGTGCCATGGCAAACAAAAACTGTGACCAAAATCACAACCAAATCAGTGGCCAGGTATGTGACTTGCTATTTACTATGTGACTTGTTATTAACATATGTAATGACAAACTGAAACGCCGACCAAAAGCAATACTAAATCTGTGACATGGTCCTGTGACCTAATGTTCGAGGTACAGTTCGACCTGTGACCTGATCTTTGCATCATATATTATGTGTGCTAAATCCGTGACTTGCTATGTATATCACATGTGACCTGTTATCGACATATGTCATGCCAAAGTAACTCCCACCAAATGGGAGTTTAAATCTGTGACCTGGTACTGCTGATATGTGAACTAATTTACACACGACATTAAAAAATAAATCATATACCAAAAACACAACTGTGTATCCATGTATTGCAACAACATATTAACAAATGAAGGTTGGGGCACCCATGTATTGCAAATGCATATTCACATCCACATGACAGTATTGAGTACAAACACCTCCATTGCTTGAAAGAAATATAAAATGCTATCAACTGAAGCATAAAACTCATTTACAAATGTTTTCATATTTGTCATTCTATTACAATCCCCTCCCCTTTAAAAGCCTGCCTCGCCTTCTTCACGTAAGGTTCTCGGTGTTTGTAGAGTAGTGAGGCGATATCAATTCTACATTTTGCAGCATCGAACTTATGGGGAATAGCACATCTGCCATCACGGAGGATATACAATGCATACAATATCACGAACACCCCGCAGTCATGACTGTAAAAGCACACACTATAGTATGTTATGAATTAATTAATTTACAAGTTATACTGCTGTAGTTGGTCACATACTTACCCATTCGTCTGCTGAGGCAGGGTACTGTCAATGGTCACCTTCATTTGCTTGCATTCAGATTCGTTGTAATCGGGGTCTTTTTTGGAAATTCCCAACGCTTTCGTAAGAGCAGGCAATACCTTCACATAGGGTTCAATACCTTCCAGCACATTCCAATCACGATACGTTTTTCCAGCTGAATTGAACAGCATCAAAGTATGGCTTCTAAATTCTACTAGACCTAGCATCCAGTGAGCTTTGTTCGTGGGCAGGAGTGGTATGAACACATAGTCTACATCGGCCCACGATGTGCTTAGGGATATCAAGCGACCTGTGACAACCTTAATCATGCTGCTCTCCGACAACAGAACTTGAGGGTCTTTTTAGAAAGCGGGAAATATATCTTTTATCTTGTTCTGGAACCACGAGTCCGTCGTTGTAGCTCTTAACTTTACTTTCCCAAATTTTGCTACCTGGCGACTATAGTAGAAGCATGCATCCATGTGCTATTTGAACATGAAGGACACAGTTAGGTACAACATTAAAAAGTTATGACTTTATGACAGTGGGCTGCTCAGTAGTATGTGCATAGTGTTGTATGAGGTTCTTAATGTTGTGTGACTGGTTAACAAGGAAATGTGTAGTGAACAGATAGATAAGTGTTACCATACCGAGCCGCTTAAAGACCTTTCTGCATTTATCAGCTGATGGAACCATGTCTTGTGACCGACAGGGTATAAGCCAATACTAAAGGCTGGTTTGATTTGGTCATCTTGCTCATTAAACTTTTTTCTGTTGCCAAAAGTTGACTGTCAAGATACTGTAACTGTGCGACCAATGTATTTGAAAATATAAGAAACATGTACATGCCTGTTTTTGGGTTTGTACCCTCTCTGAAACCAACCCAAGAATGGTGATTTATCAGCTTCATCAACATGGTCTTTATAATTTTCAAATACAATAACATTACCGTCATGTCGCAGTACCTTTCCTTCCCTGACAACAAATGGGGACCACAGTATCCTCGCAGGCCTTGAAGCCCGCTTAACTGGTAATGCAGATGCCGGTTCTGTAGTTGGTGATCCCTGTGACTTGTAAAGGTCACATTTAGTTTACATAAATTCGATGTACACATTGTGTGACTAGCATATTACACTAAAAAATAATAATTTGACTACCTCTTCGTCAACATTTTGGGATGCTGTGATCACATCAGATATGACAGCATCTACCTGCTTTTGAATTTCTGAAGACTCCAAATCATCCGGTTGTGTGTATTCGATACCCAGGTCAAATGATGGCTGTTCAAGACTACTTGGAAAGGCAACATCTTCAGTTGGGTCGACCTTTCCCTTCCCTTTCCTGTCGACAACATGTTGCAGTTTTTCCACCTGTATGTGAAATTGGAGAATTTCAGACACAAAATCTGTAACTATGTTCAGTGATAGATAGATTGAACATATCATGTACCTACCTCGTCGATCTTCTCGAATCCTTCGACAGCAGCTTCCGTGTCTTCATACTCATTAACTGGACAACCTTTCCTATCATTGAATCGCCTTAATATCTCATCCATGGAGCTTGAGATCATTGCAGTCACAGATTCAGACAGGAATTGCATGTTCGTCCTAATCTCGATCATGTCATGTTTTAACTGTCCTTGTATTAGGATGATTTCAGACATCTTTTTTGCCGATCAGAGTTGAGGCTCGACATTTGTGACTTGATGGCGTCTATCTCCATGGTTAATACTTTATTCTGTGACTTAAGTTCTGAAAGTTGCGCATTCAAATCGTGAAGCACCTGTAAACATGATTAAGATAAATAGTTAAATGTGACTTTATAAAAGATGTATGTGACCATGAGAATTGAACTGTGACCAGTACTAAGTGAACTGTGACCATAATTTGAAAACAATTGAACAGAAATAAAAATAATCTTACAGCACTCCATTGGATCCCATGATGTTGTTCTTCATTGGAGAAAGTTGGGGACCTGAAGGGCCTTCATTAGCACGGGGTGTTTCTTGATGGGATAGCCCCTTACATCGTCGTAAAGGATCCACAAAATCGTCATCATCATTTGTAATGTGAGCCTTTCTAACACCAGTGTCCGTTACCAAAGGCATTGATTTCTCACTCATGTGTGAAGGATCAACAGACTTTCCCTTCCTGCTTTCCTTTCGACGGCTGCTCTGAGAAGACTCTGGTTGAATTGTTTTGTTATGCTCCGTGCCATCCATGTATGGCATTGCCATTTTAGCTTCAGTAGGCATCAGGTCACATATTTCAATCTGCATTGCATTACAGTAAAAGATTAGAGAACCAAGAAATTTACCATATGTTCCACTATCAGCAGAATATGGATTACTGAAACATTACATTAGGCTTGTTGAAGTAGCCCAGCTCCTCCAACTTAGATGCAGAAGGTTGTTCGTTTGCATTCCAGTTATTGATTCGAGGGTGCGTCCTCGATACCCTTGTGACAATAACTTCATCTAGGTCAGGGAAGGTTTCGTAGATCCATGCTTGAAAGGCTACCAACATACCTCGTAGCCTATAATGTGCGGTTTGTCGACTCAATGCATCTTTTAAAGAACTCAAAGTAATCTCAAACAGTAACTTTCCCCATGGAAAACTGTTCAGCGCGGGGAAGTCCTCAACAAGCGTGAACAAGTAATGGTCAACCACTTTCTTATAATCTCTAGGAAATAAGTATGCAGTAATGAAGTACAGGATACCAATGAGTGCCACATCATGATCCGGGAGAGTTTCAACAAGATCCAGATCAAGCATTTGGCAAGCAGATATGAATGTGGACTTCACATCTTCATGTGTCACGATATCGACTTGGGAAAAGTACTTATTCTTCAGTTGTGACTGTCTACTTTCAAAAATGCCCGTGTCACTATCGCCAGAACATCTCAGCCCCGTGACTATGCAAAACTCAGATATAGAGAATCTAACATAACGCTCAGCAACTAAAAACCACAACTCTGTAGTATTAGGTTGTTGGACCTGCCGCAAGAGGAAGTAGTGAATTAATTGCGGTTGTACCACAATTTCATGGCAGTCGAGAAAATGGGCAAAGCATGTTCCCTTCATAATGAGCTTCTGTTGGTCAGATAATTTTGATTGGATACTTGAAAGTACACCCTTGCTGACTGATGTTGTAATCTTGCCTGGAAACCATCGTTCCTTCGGTATGATATATTGCCAATCCTGCACAAAATTGTTTAGAAAGACCCAATGTTCCATAAATGTAGGGAAATCACACACAATTAGATGTATGCAACTGTGTACTCTGGCTACAGATAGATTAACATTGTTGTATAACCAGAAATAATATGGTCACAGGCATGTGTAATGCTACAACAGAACTTAGTCACAGACGATTATCATGGTCATATGCCACGAATATCATGTTCTGTATTCAACTGAATGAGGTCACGTAGGTATGCATTGTTACACAATAAAGCCAATTATTGTGCATTCAAGTCACGTAGGTCACATGCCATGAGTATCATGTTCTATATTCAAATCATGATACAAAACAATTACTAGCATATATTTTTGTTGTGCATTCGAGCCACAAACCATGTAAGCCACAGTCACATTTGAGATGTCGCAGATGTATAAATAAATACTGTCAACAATCAGGCCACATGCAACAATCAGTTGAGATGTCAACATTCAGGTCACACATTGAGATCTTGGTCACATATAGATAATGGCGAGGTCACAGACAATTGATCAAATGACAAATGACATACGTTCCTATGTACTTTGTTTGTGGTGCTATATAAGCAACAGTCACAGTTTGACATCTTGGGTCACATGCAACAATCAGTTGAATCATTAGCAATGTCATTAGAGGCCACACACTCATAGTTCCCTCAGTCACACATCGACATCTTGGTCACATATTCATAATGGCGAGGTCATTGACATAATTTTTGTTATGTAATTAAGCGACATTTCGGGAGAAATCTAGGTCACACTCAATATTGGTACCAAGAACCCTAATCCAACGATTAGGGCCGATTAAATGACGGAAAAATTACCTAAGACTTCAATGCTTCTAATCCATGAATTCTATCACCATGTTTGCCAATAAAAACATAATAACTAACACCTAAAATTATAATTACCTTTTTCGAGCGCATTTTCTTCGCGGTCAGAGATGCTGGTTGCTTATTAGGTGGTGTTTTTTGGGGCTAACCACGGATTTCCTCTTGCTTCTACGTTCGGACGTATCTTCGACATTGATTACCAACTTCGCGATCTTCGACTTCTCCATTTCAGATGTCCACAGAGATTTGGGTGAAAACGGCGGAGAGTATTATCCACTGCTTGATGTGGCCGGATGTGGCTTGTATTCTAAATTGCCGGAAGTGAGATCAATGAGCGGTGTAGACGATTGAGAGAGTGGGAGATAGATGAAAAAGCGAAATTCAGGCACTTGAGAGGAACCGTGTAGAGGATTGAGAGATTGGGAGCAAGAGAGTGAGAGATATATGAAATGGTTTATTATGGAAGTTATTATAATTACAATTCAAATTGCGATATTTAAAGGAACACAGCAGTTGCAATATGCTTGAGTACATAGAGTCCATACAAATATTACTGATATTTACTAATATTTTAAAATTTTCTACTTATGTCAACATTTTTTTTTAGAATATTACCTTGTTCTGATTAAGAAAAGAATTGAAAATAATTAAAAGAGAGTTAATTGTTTCAATGGTCATTGAAATTAGGTCTATATCTTTGATTGGTCATTGAATTTTAAAATGTCGAGTTTTGGTCACTGAACTTAGGTCCACGTCTTTGTTTGCTTACTGAAATTTAAAATGTTGAGTTTTGACAACTGAGCTTTGAAAAATGTTGTACATTACTTATTGAAGTTTTAAAACTCGATATTTTTCAAAGTTCAACAGTTATGTTAATAAGTAACGTACGTCATATTCCAAAGTTCAGTGGACAAAACTCGACATTTTAAACTTTAGTGAACAATCGAAGACATGAACCTAAATTCATTGACCAAAGTTTGACATTTTTCAAAGTTCAGTGACAAAAACTCGATATTTTAAAGTTCAGTGGCCAATCAAATACATGGACTTAAGTTTAGTGACCGTTGGAACAATTAAGCCATTAAAAGATGATATTCATCGAGTCAAAATGTCACGCTCATTCTTAAAGGCATAAACATGTGCACTACTTCAAATGATAAAACGAGTTGGCAAAGTTTATGAGATTATAAAATCTTAAATTTTGAATAATTAACGTCATAAAAATAATTGTAATCATTCAAAATTTGTTTTAATTAATTAATTATTGCCTGTATACAT